AAAAAAATAAATGCTAACGCTAAAAATATTTGTCTTCAAATATTATTACAACTGTGCATTTATTTCAAACACTAGTTAAGATTAGGTAGAGGAGAAAAATCATTACATACTAAGTTGCAGAGCTTTTTCCAAGCCTTCATAATAACACCAATTTTCTGCATTCCGATCAATCAAGTTTTTGAATACTTCACTGGCTTCTTTTAATCTTCCCAATTTCAACAGCATTTCCCCTAAAATTAAGTTTAGATTCACATTCATTTTACTTAAACATTAAATGCCTTTCTGATCTCATAGATTTCACTAAGCATTATTAGTATAATAGATGTTTATGAAAGACAGAACCGTATGTGCTTCCCTTTGGGGCATGTTGTGCAGTTTACATAACTAACCACAGATTAATTCACAGCTTGTCTTCAGAAATGAACCTTCATTTACACATTTTATTATACTAACATTCATTTCTGGCTCCCTTCTACACCCCAAATATACACATAGGATATTTAGTTCTTAGTAAAAATATTTGCATCGTGCACATTTTTATATACCCTTTAAGATCGTTAAAGACTCCCTCTACAGACTGGTAAATAATTCTAATGAAACATCCCTACATTCCTACTGCTAGATTTGAATGTACTCTTTCTGATCAATTCATATATTAAACAATTCTCCGTTCAATTCTCTTAGTTTCCTTCCGACGGCACTAAAATTGGAGAAGTTTAACTCAGTAAAACAAAAACACTAAGTACCACTTCACAGCAAGAAACCACACAAACCAGGTTCATGTGGGGGCCACCCCTAAGATTCAAATCCTTTTACCAAGCCACACAAATTGAAAGTAGGCCTGGGAGGGGTGCCTGAGTGGCTAAATAGGTTGAGCGGCTGACCTGACTCCCCATGGGGCATCTGCTGAAGATTCTCTCCCTCTCTCTCCCCCTCACCCTGCTCCTGCGCCCACGCTTTCTCTCTCGCAAATAAATACATTGTTTAAAAAAAAAAAGAAAGAAAGTAGGCTTGGGAAATGAGTATCTAAACTTCTCAGATATAATGGAAAACACATCTAATCAAAGATAAAAGGGAGATTCTCAACAAAGGCTGTATCTCAACTTCCTATCGCTAAGACCTCCCCTTCCCCAAACAATCTATTTCAAAGAAATAACCCTTTGAAATGTCTTCAGATGTATTATTTCAGGTTTCATCATCTGGGAGGACAATATATTGAAGTAGTTATTATATACTATTATTTTACTATTTATATATATTACTCAAGCTCTAGAGGAAAACTAACCAGATGTAATTTCCAGTTTTACTACTTTCTCATACAAAATTCCAATGTCTACTTACCTATAAAATATCAACTATCTCAGTCCGCTTTTGTGATAAATGAATTAATTTAAAGGGGTTAGCACTTTAACCCCTGGAAGAAAGAAACCAGAACACTAAATTATTTATCCGCATTGTACCAAGAGTTTGAAAAATAGTGTTGTTCAATAGCCAAATTATGGAAAAAGTCCAAACATCCATAGACTGAAGAATGGATAAAGAAGAGGTGGTGTGTGTGTGTGTATAAAATAATATTACTCAGCCATAAAAAAGAATGATATCTTGTCATTTGCAATGAGATGGCTGGAGCTAGAGAGTATAATACTAAGTGAAATAAGTCAGAGAAAGACAAATACTGTATGATTTCACACATTATGTGGAATTTAAAAAACAAAACAGATGACATGCAAACCACAAAGCCAACTCTTAACAATAGAGAACAAACTAAGGGTTGCTGAAGGGGAGGTGGGTGGGGAGTGGGCTAAATGGGTGATGGGTATTAAGGAGGGCACTTGTGATGAGCACTGAGTGTTGAATCACTAAATTCTACACATGAAACTAATATTACACTATATGTTAACTAACTGGAATTTAAATAAAAACTTGGGAAAAATAAAAAATAAAAAGAAATACACAAAATAAAGTGCTGTCAATATTAGTATTATTCCCAAAAATTAAATCAGCGCTATACATTAACTGGAAGAGCAGAGTATAGCAGTTAAAAATAAGGACTCATGAAAAGACATGAAGAAATCTTGAATTACTAAGTGAAAGAAGCTAATCTAAAAAACCTACATACTATGATTCCAACCATATGACATTCTGGAAAAGGCACACCTATAGAGACAGTAAAAGGATCAGTGGTAGCCAGGAGCTGGGGGCAAGGAGAAACAAACATACAGAGCACAGAGGATTTTTAGAGCAGTTAAACTACTCTATATGACACTACAATGGTGGATATATTTCTCAAAACCTAGACAAGAGTGAACCTTCATGTAAACTGTACTTTCAGTGGTAATTACCTGTCAATGTGGGGGTTCACTAATTGCAACGAATGTACCATTCCGGTAAGGAATGTTGATGGGGGCGGGGGGAGGCTTGCATGTGTGGCAGCAGAGGGTATATGTGAAATCTCTATACCTTCCACTCAATTTTGTTATGAACCAAAAATTAGGAAAATGAAGATTATTTAAATAAAAAAAGCAGCGGTGATTGACTGGCTCAGTTGGTAGAGCATGTGACTCTTGATCCTGGGGTCATGCGTTCAAACCCCATGTTGGGTTTAGAGTTTACTTAATAAATAAATAAATAAATAATAGGGACGCCTGGGAGGCTCAGTCAGTTAAGCATCTGCCTTCGGCTCAGATTATGATCCCACGGTCCTAGAACAGAGTCCTGCATTGGGCTCCTTGTTCAGTGAGGGGCCTGCTTCTTCCTCTGCCTGCCACTCCCCCTACTTATGCCTCTCTCTTTCTCTTTCTCTGACAAATAAATAAATAAAATCTCAAAAAAATAAAATAAAATAAAATAGTAAAACAAAAAAAGTAAGGGCTCTGAAGCCAGGAAGATGTGTTTAGAAATTAACTCTACCATCTAAAAGGCAGGGTGACTTTGGGTAAGTCCTTAACCTCTCTAAACTTTAGTTTCCTCAACTATAAAATGGGGATAATCTACCTATGCCAGAAGTGCTAAAAAATTAAATAAGGCAGTTTAAGCAATTACCATACTCTGAGACACAGGAAAAGTAAATAAACATTAGCTATTATTTTTATTAAGCTTTAGAAGTCCTGCAACTATATGAAACTTTAGTTCTAAACTAATTATTACTTTAGTTAGACATTTTATTATAGTATTGCTCGGAGAATGGTAACTGATGAACAAAACCTTGTTTAAAAAAAGATGTGCTTGACCCATTTCTAACAAGCTATTTATCAGGATCCTGCCTTCGTACCTAGCCCATATTGAAAATAAATGAATCTTGTTTTCATGATGACCCCAGTAACATCATTTACTATTCTCATTGTATTTATTTATTTCATGGATATATATTTGGGGGAGGGGAGAGGAAATGGAATCTGGAGTCAAAACCCCTAGACTCAAATCTACTACTACCGAGCTCACTTAGCTGTATGACTTTGGGCAAGTCACTTAACCTCTCTTTTCCTCAGGCCCTCAATTCTAAAATGGATGTAATAACCATACATAGTATTATTATGAGGATTAACTTAACAGCTTAACAATAAAAATTTTTTTTTATTATGTAGCAAGTCTTATTTAAATGTTAGAACAGAATAAAGTGCATAGTTTTTGTTCTTTTCTTTAATTGAGACCACTAAAAAAGAAAAAGCAGGTCAACCTACCTTTAATTTCTTCCACCAAAAGTTTATCACATATTTGTTTCTCATACGCTTCTATATGTTCCAAAGATTCCTGAAATAGATCTGCCTCTCTCATCACTTGATTCTGGTATAATATCAGTTCACTATATTCATAGTCTATTTTGTTGGGAGGAACCTGAAAAAAAAAAAGAAAAATTATTTTATTATAATTATATAAAATAGTTATAGATCTTTAATTGCTTACTCAGAAAAGTCATTCACACAGACTAAAAGAAGCAATTACAAATAGAACAGTGATTAATACATTCTTTAAAACAAACAAAAAGGTGGAATTTCTGCCTACAGCAAAGTAAAGATTCAGGTCAGCAAATCCTATACTCAAAGAAAAGTATGAAAATGGTTAAAATTCTATAGAATCTACCAAAAAAACTACTAAAATAAAAAAGTTTAGCAGGTGACAGAATACATGATCAAAATATAAAAATCAATTATACTTCCATATACTAGCAACCAACAACCCCAAAATAAAACTAAAATAATTTCATTCACAGTAACATCTAAAAGAAAAAAGTATATAGGAATAAATTTAGGAAATAAGACCTATACATTGAAGACTGAAAGCATGCTGAGAGATATTAAAGACCTATGTAAATGGAGAGACATTCAATCATGTTCATGGATCAGAATACTCAATATTGTTTTGACAGCAATTTTCTCCAAATTTATCTACAAATTCAATGCAATCCCTATCAAACTCTCAGCAAGCTTTTTTTGCAGAAATTGACAAGCTAATCCTAAAATTCAAATAGAGATAAAAGAAACCCTGCATTGCCAAAAGAGTCTTGAAAAAGAACAAAGTAGGAGGACATGCATTTCAAATTTCAAACTTACTATAAAATAACAGCAATCAAGATAGTGTGGTATTGGCATAAGGAAAAAGTGGAATTAATAAACTACAGCTTAGGGCGCCTGGGTGGCTCAATTGGTTAAGCGACTGCCTTCGGCTCAGGTCATGATCCTGGAGTCCCTGGATCGAGTCCCGCATCGGGCTCCCTGCTCGGCAGGGAGTCTGCTTCTCCCTCTGACCCTCCCCCGTCTCATGTACTCGCTCTCTCTCATTCTCTCTCTCTCAAATAAATAAATAAAAATCTTTAAAATAAAAAAAATAATAAATAAACTACGGCTTATTTATATAATGAAATACCAAACAGCAGCTAAAAATGGATAAACTGGAGTACCTGGGTGGCTCAGTCGGTTAAGCAGCTGCCTTAGGCTTGGGTCATGATCTCGGGATCCTGGGATCGAGCCCCCTCTTGGGCTCCCTGCTCAGCAGGGAGTCGCTTCATCCTCTCCTTCTACCCTCCCCGCGCCCCCCCCCCACCGTGCTCTTTGTCTCTCTCAAATAAATAAATAAAATCTTTAAAAAAAGTGGATAGGGGTGCCTGGGTGGCTCAGTCAGTTAAGCATCTGCCTTCAGCTCAGGTCATGATCCCAGGGTCCTGGGATCGAGCCCCATGTCAGGCTGTCTGCTCAGCAGGGAGCCTGCTTCTCCCTCGCCCTCTGCATGCCACTTCTCCCTTCTTGTGCGCTTGCTCTCTCTAATAAATAAATAAAATCTTTAGAAAAAAATGGGTAAACTAACCCTCCATGTATCAACACACATATATCTCAAGACATGTTGAATGAAAAAAAAAGCATATTGTCCATGTCAATTTTTAAAGACACAAAACAATAGTTTGTAACTTTTATGGACCTAAACATAACGTAAAGGTGACTAGGAACAATCAATACCTATTTCAGAATAGTGGCTACCTCTAGGGACATGAGAGACCCTTATAGCTACTTCTGTAATATTTCTCTTTTTTTTTTTTTTAAGATTTTATTTATTTGACAGAGATAGACACAGCAAGAGAGGGAACACAAGCAGGGGGAGTGGGAGAGGGAGAAGCAGGCTTCCCACCGAGCAGGGAGCCCGATGTGGGGCTCGATCCCAGGACCCTGGGATCATGACCTGAGCCGAAGGCAGACACCCAACGACTGAGCCACCCAGGCGCCCCTGTAATAATTCTTTAAAAAATAATAAAATCTGGAAAAATTGTGGCAAAACGTTAATATCTATTTATTTCATGATGCACAGTATATATTTTTTGTATTTTTCTATTTTGTATATATATTAAAATGTATTAACATGTTTATATAAAACATAAAGCAATATATATGAGAGAAGTAATTCCCACAATCACAAAACTACTTTCATTTTTATGTATTCTTTTCTTTCTTTAGTCATTTGAATGTCATCAAAATAAGAGTATAAAAATGTTCATATTATTTATTTTTTATCAAGAATTCTGTGTTTTAATTTTTCTAACTATTTCAAAAATTTTTCAAGTTTTCCCATAGGTCCCAAAGACTTTATTTTTTTAAAGATTTTACTTATGTATTTGAGAGAGAGAGAGAGAGCAGGAGGGAGAGGGAGAGAGAATCTGAAGGAGACTCTGTGCTGAGTGCAGAGCCCAACGTGGGGCTCAATCCCATGACCCTGAGATCATGACCTGAGCCGAAATCAAGAGTCGGACACTTAAGCAACTGAGCCACCCAGGTGCTCCCATAGGTCCCAAAGACTTTAATGCACAACTGGGAATCGGGGCAATATAGAAGCCAACTACTTTAGTTTGTGCAGGTAGGAGAAACAGAACAAAGTTCGTACTTACTTGCTGAGTTTGTCTAAATTCTTCCAACAGTTTTAGTGCCATATCATAATCTTTTAGCAAATGGTATGCAATAGCATATCCAATCCAGGAAGCACGCTGTGTTGGGCGCAACTGAAGAAGCTGATACCTTGTCTCCTAAAAAAATAATAAAATTACATTAAAAATTGTCTTCTTCTCTTTTTACTTTAACTTTCTCTAAAATATTTATATTTCACCACAGAGCTTTAAGAAAACAATTTAATGCCTTTAATTCCTTTCTAATGAATTGCATGAACAAACATCAGTTCCCAAATAAAACAAGTATTTTTTATGTTAGATTAAGTTCTAGAATACTCTGTAATGCTCCCTATAAAGCTGACCTTGGGGCCCATGCTTTTGTGCTGCCTTAGAAAATGTAACCGGAATTTCTTTTGGTAACTAAGCATCTTAGAAGAGAGACTAAGATACCTTTTTATTCAACTAAATTCTGCTGTTTATAAAATCACTCTATGAAATTATAATGTCTTTATTACATTGTTACAATAGGCCCTAGAAACAGGGCGGACACAGCCAGGGCAAACACTCAAAGGCAGACTGGACCTTTCTAACAGAATACCACTTGCTGCCACTCTAAGACAGCGATCTATGACATGAGGGAGAAAACACCAGGAATTCCACCATAGCTGCCCCGCAAGAATCCAAATATCTTCACCAGCAGAAAACGCACCCTCCCTAAACTGCCCCCACCTCTTCATAGCTCGTATTTGCCTCCAAGTTTTAGGCACGTGCAACCGCTTGGAGGAACAGGGTCTCATGAAGAACACTAGCTGCAATGAAGTTCTGCAAATGTAGCATTTCGTTTCTATTGTGGGAACAGGTGTCAAGTGAGTCCTTCCACACTATATGCCACAAGGAGTAACATGATCGGATCTTTTAAGAAAAAGATATCTTTGAGACAACAGCTTAGACAGTCTCACCCCTCTGCCTGTGTGTGCCTGGTTCTTTCAGGTATATGACATCAAGCTGTGTCACTCCCATCTCTCCTCTACACCACTCCTTCTCTGTCACTTCCCTCCTTCATTGAAGTCGGGGTCAGTTGTTTTCTCTCTGCCAAATCCTGCCACTATCCTGTTACAAGTGCAACACTGTGGAGCATCCATCCAACAACCTAGTATTTTAGAATCAAGATTTCTTCATCTTTTTTTTTTTTTTAAGATTTTATTTATTTGACACACAGAGAGAGTACTAGCAGGCAGAAGGAGAGGGAGAAGCAGACTCCCCGTTGAGCAGGAAGCCCGACTCGGGGCTCAATCCCAGGACCCTGGGATCATGACCTGAGCCGAAGGCAGTCGCTCAACCAACTGAGCCACCCAGGCGCCCCAAGATTTCTTCATCTTTAATGATCTCCTTCACCCTGCTTTGTGGACCCACTCCTACAACCACACCCTAGACCTTACTGCCCCCCAGAAATCATAAATTCAGATAGCTAACTCTCTGGCCAAAGCTCTTACTCACTGACATTCCTACCCTTGTTCTGGGCTACCACCAGTACGTCTGGGTCCTTAGGTCCTCCGCATCTAACCGCCAGCTCTTGTATCTTCATTTAGTTCACTACCCCTTTGAGCAAGCACTGTCTTGCCAACATTCTTAATTTCCTTGCCTCATTCCTACAGATAACTGATTCTAACTCCCACACTTGGACTAAAAGAAAAACCACACGATCTGGAAGAATGACACCATTACTAAGCTCAGCAGCATGCTTGAAACCTCTGCAAAAATCTAGGCACCAGGCATAAGGATTTATGTGGCAGTAGAAGACAAAAGTAAACAGTAAATGAAAGAACTTAACTTATTTAAAGGGAATGTTAAGAGTTGGTGGGCTCCTTCAACATGAGAAAGGGATAATGAACAATCAAATCTACATAATTTCAGCCTATGCTCACCTCATTTTGAACCCCACATCTTTTTTTTTTTTTAAAGGTTTTATTTATTTATTCATGAGAGACAGAGAGAGAGAGAGAGGCAGAGGGAGAAGCAGGCTCCCAAGGAGCAGGGAGCCCAATGCAGGACTCGATCCCAGGACGCTGGGATCATGACCTGAGCTGAAGGCAGACGCTTAACCATCCGAGCCACCCAGGCACCCGAACCCCCACATCTTTAAATTATACCTGTTGTAAAAACATGTACACTTAAGACTAAAGTACTTACTCGATAACCTTCAAGGTCTCTCATTTGGATCTGCAACAGAGAGAGATCCCTCAAAATTTGCAGATTATCTTTATCTAATTTGAGGGCATTTCGATAACACTTAATAGCTTCATCATACTTCTTATCAGAACGCTGCAAGAGTCCATACACATGCCAACCTACTAAGTTAAGGAAATAGAGACATTCAAGGATACTAGAATATACTGTGCTACATACCTAATATAAAGCTTACCTTAATGACGTGTTAAGTTGTCTGGGATTTATTTCAGATCATCTGGGGTCAGAGAAAGGGGGACAGTGAGGGGGTGGTAAAAGATGAAACCAGATTAACCTTGACTGACAGCTGTTAAATTACTGAAGCTGGGTGACGGGCACACGAGGGGTGCCTCATTCTACGCTTTCCACTTACACGTTTGGTATTTTCCATTATGTTTACATAACCTTAGAAAATTCTCGGCAAAAATTCTTCACATTCCCTACCCTTTACCCCCTCACTTTCCCACCCCAGCACCTCAACAGTCACTTATTCTTCATTACTATATATACAGAAATTGTAATTATCTCTTCAAACTAGTTTATATTCAATCAATTCTAAAACAACATGTAATCATCAGTTAATTCACTAGTGATACTAAAAACCACAAAAATGAAGTTTTTATTTACTGTAGATTAAAGTCTCAGCATATCCTGGAGCCAAAAAAACTATCATACTTACACGTCCTCTCTCTTTATTCTGGGGTAAGCACTGAGATAAAGAAATAAGTATTTAGTATTTCTAGAGACTCCTAAGCTAAATATGTGAAAGCACTACCTAGGCTATTGATGTTCAATACTGGCCAATAGCTAGATGAATGAAATGTAAAAAATTAAGGGCAACATGTGAAAAGATTGCAAAAAGGCATATAGATAGGCAAAATGGAAATGAAAATCAATTTTGATGATCTATCTTTAAAAAGTTATTTTTGTTTTTTCACAAACTGAGATTCCAGCCAATGAAAAATACAGTAAGTATCTACTGAAGTAACAGCTATGTCCCTGTGCAACAGAAACCCAACTGAAGAACCAATATCATACTTAATGCTAAATAAAATTTGCTTTAAAACAGGTTTTTTTCTGAATTTTTCTTCCAAAATGTCTAAAACAAAGTTTATGGAACACAAATTTTACTATATGAGTAAGTCATTCGGAATGACAGGAAAGTATCACTCGGTTTACAGATATGTAAGAAAAAAATGGGTTTCAAGTCACAGATCAGTTCCTTTTCTCTCACACTAAGCACAACTGAAGTAAAAAAGTACAAGGATTCCCTTTCAACTACTGCAATAAACAAACAAGGGGTAGGGAACAGAAGAAACTATTACAAAATGTTGGTAATTATGGAAGCTGAGTAATGGTACACGGAGTTCATTACATTTTCTCTTCTATACAAAATTTTCCAGAGTAAAGGTCTGTTTTTTCCTGAATTAGAAAACCCTACTAAGTGGAAAATAAATGAAATGATAAATTTCAATTATTGCAAAAGGATACAGACATGGCTCTTGACATCATTACGAAGTCCTTTACGAACAAATTCATACGCTTCTTCTTTTTTTCCTAAACAGTTCAATGTCAATCCTTTCATAGCCAAAGTCTCTGAAAAATATTTTTTAGCCTCTATTTACACACAAAGAATTCAAAATATTCTCTTAGCACTATTTTTTTTTAACTCTTAGTACTATTTTAATATGACATCTGCCAAGGCTTGTATTATTCATCTTTGTAATCATATAACTAGAACTTCTCTCCAAATGCAGAAAGTAAAACTACATTTAAGTATTTATTAAAGTGTAGCCTGAGTCCTTTTCTGAAATCCCTGAGGCTGGGACTGAGTTCCTCAAATGCCTTCTGCCCTTTAGAAGACTGTACAAAGGGGGCTGAGATTATTCTGCTGAAAAAGAGTAATACAGTAGGCACCCAAGTCCTGCTGTGTTAAATCTATGGCAGTAGCTGCAGAACTTTCATCCAAGATCAATTCTAATCACCATCCCATTTATACCCCACAAAAACAATCTACTTCAGCAAAGAGATGCACACAATGTAAAAATCAGCTTATTCAATATTGGAACACACTTTATTTTTGGCAATAAGTTTATTCCAACTAATTCTGGTTAGGCTAATTAACATCAGTTTGCATTTCAAGAGTGTAACAGTGGACTGCGGGAATGGTAACACAAAAATATATTTGAGGCAACTAATGAAAGATGGCTTAGAATGAAATAATTCTCTGAATAAATCCACAAGAATTAGACAAGAACAAGGTCTTCAAATGATCTCTGTGGACTCTGGTCGTCAGAACATGGTGATCCAGCAGCCCAGGCCCCTATAAACATCTGCATTTATCTGTTTTCATACAATGAACTTCCCTACAAGCTGCCATGTGGATAAAGGTTCTGTAGAGAAAAAACTTGAAAACAGGCTTTACGTTTCTCAAATTTTATGAACCGAAGACTTCTTTCCAGTTCCTTCAAAGAATGTTTAAAATGTTATCTGAAAGCTGAGCAAGGTCAGCCTACTTTCCCAATAAGATGGTCTCAAGAATTACCCATGTCTAATATTCAGAGACCCTAATTGGCGGTGCTCTGCTATAGGACCCTAACTAGCATGTCTGACCTTACCCATCCTTCAAACAAGCACCAGTCACCAGTGAAAAAGGATGAGACAAGCAAATAGAGACCTAGTAACACCAGTGCTGGAGAAACAGCTCAAGATAAGCAATCTAATGGTAAATCAATAGAATCTAATTTATTTATACATAAAGGTCAGCAGATATATAAGAATGACATTTACCAGAGAATAAAATACATGTGATTGTATCTTCATACTACTTCTGTACTGCAGATATTGTCTTCATTTCACATACATAAGAAAAGCATAAACTTAAGTTCTACCCAAAGTAATAGATGAAACGAAGTCTCTAAAAGTACTATTATATACTCCAAGTATTCCCCAACAGATCAACCAACCACTTCTCATTTAAAGTGAAGATGGTGCACCCACCTAAGCGTAATAAAAGGAAGGTAACCTAGAACAAGACTGATATGATGCATGACTAAAAATGTTTATGTGTTCTAATAAACAGCTACAAGGTCATGGAATCTGGGAAGTATTCTTCTTTCACCGTTAGGAATCTTATCTGTCTGATCCTGGAATTCGATTTCCCCAAAGCAGTCTCTCACAGATGAGACAGTACCTCCATGTTCAGCAAATTTTGGATTCGAAAGAATCATCTTGCAAAACTTGAGGCCATTTTTGTACTGCTTCTGTTCATAGCATTTCTGTAAAGAAATACGAACAAAATTATTTAATAAAATGAATATATAGGGAGCAACTTTTCTTTGCATTATATAAATTCTAAATTCAAGGTCCAAAATTAGATCTAAAACATATGTGATGGGAAGGTGTTATATCAATTTCTATCACTTATAACATGAGGTATATTTTTGTTACCTACTTCTTGCCAAGTTGTTCTAGTATGAGTATTTTCACTTTTATAGAAAAAAAGGGAAAAAAACCCACTTAATAAAAAGGGAATTTAATTGTCAGCCAATACTGCTACAACTTTTAAAATTCAAAATCCAAAAGCAAAAAATACGTGATAACAACACAGAAAAATACTAGGAACTGCATTATGTCTTTGCCACTTCAAGAACAGAACCAAGGAGGGCACCTGGGTGGCTCAGTTGGTTAAGCGACTGCCTTCGGCTCACGTCATAATCCTGGAATCCCGGGATCGAGTCCCACATCGGGCTCCCTGCTCGGCGGGGAGTCTGCTTCTCCCTCTGCCCTTCCCCCACCTTGTGTGCTCTCTCTCTCCCATTTTCTCTCTCTCAAATAAATAAATAAAATCTTAAAAAAAAAAAAGAACTGAACCAAGGCATACACACATACACACACACACACACACACAAACACACACACACACACAAGCAACTACTACGTGTCCAGATAAAACTTGTTATATATCTCATAGGTATCCCTCAAGGTAGGTGTCATTACCTCCTCCCTACAGATGCAAAAATTGAAATTTTAAGAGTTCATAAAATTTGTTTATAAATACCTCAGCCTACTTGCAAACTCTGGTCTGATTCCAAAGACCATGATCTTTCCATCACTAGGCTAATACAAGTGTGAGCAACACCTTTCTTCCTAAATACCACTTGCTAAGTAATCAGCACCTGTCTACCACAGCCACTAATCACAAGAACATCTCATCATCTTCTATTTACCCTCCCTCTTATGTTGCCATGGGTTTTCTTTCTAGTACTCAACATGCCAAGTTTGTGCCCACCTCAGGGCCTCTGCATGTGTGTTCCTTCTACTTGAAATGTTCTTCCCCAGATCTTCCTTACCAGCAGAATTTCATGTATCACCTGCCTGACCACTCTATCTAATACTTCCAGCCTCCCACCGCCCCACACACATATTCTCTATCATATTATTCCATTTTCTACACAGCACTATCATTCTCTGAAATTCTTACTTGATTACTTACTTAGTGTCTATCTTCCTCACCAGACTGTATGAGCTCCATGAGAACAGAGATCTTGTCTATTTTAAACGTTGCTTCATCCTCAGGGTCTACACAAATTAGGACTGCTCAAAAAATAGTCTACGAGGTTTAAAGCAAAACAGTACAGCAAAGAAGGAGGAGGTGGTTAATCTTTGCAGCAGGGGTGGAATGTGGAGGGGAGAATTAGGAAAGAGTTCATAGAAAAAAATGTTTAAATTGAGGCTTCTTGGTTGCATCTGGGGAAGGGAACCTAGTAGCTGGGAGACAAGGATGGGAGAGAAACCTGAATTTCGAATCATCTGAATATATTCCCATTCCTAAAATATTTAAAATAAAAATAAAGGGTCACCTGGGTGGCTTAGTCGGTTAAGGGTCCACCTTCGGCTCACGTCATGACCTCAGGGTCCTGGGATGGAGCCCCATGTCAGGCTCCCTGCTCAGTGGGGACTACGCTTGTCCCTCTCCCACTGCCCCTCCCCCCTGCTTGTACACTCTCTCTCGTGTTTTCTCTCTCTCTCAAATAAAATCTTTAAAAATAAAATTAAGGGGCGCCTGGGTGGCTCAGTTGGTTAAGCGACTGCCTTCGGCTCAGGTCATGATCCTGGAGTCCCGGGATCGAGTCCCGCATCAGGCTCCCTGCTCGGCGGGGAGTCTGCTTCTCCCTCTGACCCTCCTCCCTCTCATGCTCGCTCTCTCTCTCTCATTCTCTCAAATAAATAAATAAAATCTTTAAAAAAAAAAAAATAAATAAAAATAAAATTAAAATTAAAAATAGTGTTGACTATAGGAGTTCATCTGACAAATGACAAGAAGAAAAACAAGCAGAAGGAACCACTGGCAAACAGGAAAAGAAGAGAAATATGAGGGGCGTCTGGGTGGCTCAGTTGATTAAGTGACTGCCTTAGGCTCAGGTCATGATCCCAGGTCCTGGGATCGAGCCCCACATCAGGCTCCTTGCTCAATGGGGAGCCTGCTTCTCCCTCTCCTTCTGCCTGCTGCTCCCCATGCTTGTGCTCTCTCTCTCTGTGTCAAATAAATAAATAAAATCTTTAAAAAAAAAAAAAACAGAAATATGGTTTTTTTCTGACTTACCAAGTGATCTGGAAATACTAGTAATCATACCACCAATATGTAATAATAATAATTGTTAATACTTTTGGGGAGCAATTACTAGTGTCAGGTACCATTCACTTAAGCCTTATTTAAATCCCAGGAGAGCCTATGAAATACAGGTTCTCTCCAATTCAGATGGAGAGAGTGAGGCACACAGTTACTGAGTTTACAGAGCTAATATGTATCAGAGCCCTAATTCAAATCATTTTGTCTGTCCCTAGCAAGCAAGTACACAGGTTTAAAAAAAACTGTTAAAGGAATATATACTTAGCACAAAATTAGATTCTAGTTTCAACTTTGCTACTAACCAGAGAACCTCAGACACTTAGTCATTTACCATTCCTGGGTTTGGTTGTTTCATTGGCAAAAGAAAGCATGGAGTAGCTCCAAAACTCAACAAAACCTAAAGCTAATAGCCAGTTTGGGGAATAAGACAGGCATGTACAAGCCGTGCAGAACATGTAATAAGCTAGCTACTAAATTTGTATGGATGTGTTTAAGTACATTCATAGTTCATTTTTAAAAAAATGAATACTTGGCGGGGGGAGCACCTGGGTGGCTCAGTTGTTTAAGCATCTGCCTTCAGCTCAGGTCATGATCTCAGGATCCTGGGAAGGAGCCCTGCAGCTTGGGCTCCCTACTCAGCAGGGAGTCTCCATCCCCCCCTCTCCCTCTACCCCACCCCCCCTCCTGCACTCATGCATGGGTGTGAGCTCTCTCAAGTAAAATAAAATAAAATAACCTAAAAAAAAAAAAATTTACTATTGGTGGCAGAGCACTTTGGTCCACCAACCAAACTTGAAAAATAATTTTAATAGAGATTTTGTCAGGGAGTTATTGTAGCAAAATTCTACCCACATTTATTGTGAGATGCTAAAATCACTCACTTTTGCAGCACTCTCCTAAATTCATGTAACCTTATAATAATTATTACATACCCAGAGAAAAACATGTTTAGCATTTCCCAATTTATTTAGGGATAAAGTTAACTCAGCAGCAGCTGTAACTTTTTGTAACTAGAGTATAATAAATCATGTAATTGTTTTTTTATAATCTACTGATAACACGATTTGAACTAGAAAATACCCAGATAGAGTGAAAATAAGTGTTCTGTCATCCTTTAGGGATAATGCCAAATGTACTTAAATCCAACCAACAACTTATAGATGAGCCTGAAGGGGGCAAAAAGTTCACTTCTCCAAATCCACCCTGTGAAAAAATAAGGGTATGGAAAAAACGAAACTAAAATAACAAAAAATATACAAAACACCCAATGAAGCAATCTGCCACAATGCTTTAATTAGAATTTTTTTGTTTTTAAACTTGTCTCATTATTTGCTCAACACTAAGTACCATATAAAATTAAGACTTAAAATGTTAATCCCATCTACTAAGTATCTTTTTAACATTTTGAAGAAGCATGAAGTTTCTATTGGCTTGAAACAGAACAGCTGCTTTGAATTCCTACCTACCATTGGTAACATTTAAAACTATTCTAAACTTAGTATTTTATTTACAGAAAAGGTAAGCATATAGTCATATAACCGACACAAGCTCTAAATCCTAAATTCACTCTTCTTTTTTTTTTTAAAGATTTTATTTATTTATATGACAGAGAGAGACAGCGAGAACAGGAACACAAGCAGGGGGAGTGGGAGAGGGAGAAGCAGGCCTCCCACCGAGCAGGAAGCCCGATGTGGGACTCGATCCCAGGACCCTGGGATCATGACCTGAGCCGAAGGCAGACGCTTAACGACCAAGCCACCCAGGCGCCCTCCTAAATTCACTCTTAAAATCTAAACGCTTATATTCAGATGAAATGACAGACTAGAAAAAAACACTACGTACAACAGCAGTTTAAAATCCATAGTCTCCAGTGCATGCTGAGAAAAGCAAAGGCATGTTGCCTCTCCTCCCTGGAAGAATGGAACCTGGGAAACAAGGGAAGGCACCGGGGACACTGGCACACAATCTACGGAAAACTTTCCCGGCCGGCAGCGGCCATCTCTACCGGGTCATTATTCAGGTTTCCGCTTGGAAACAAAGTAAAGGCTCCCCTCCAGAGTAAAATCAGCCAGTCCGCGCGACTTTGCCGAGTCAGGACCTGAACGAGTTCAAAGCGATCAAAGAGCTGTGTTCGACTTTATAACTTGGAAATGCAGTTCAAGTCGCTTATTCGCTTCTTAAAGAAGGCAAGTACAGTACACCAAAAACAAGCAAAGTCTCTCGCGAAGGGAGGCTTGGCTTCCTAGGGTTTAATTTTCCCATCACCGGTATAAGTCGGAGCCCCACTCCACCATACGATCGCCCCATCTTTAGCAGATATCGGCGCGCTCTGTGCAATGGGTTAAGCACGAAGCAGTGAATGAACACCCGGCCGAGGGGAAAAGAAACACACGGGAGGATGGGGGGTGGGGGGGGTGCAGAGGTCGCGAGTCTGGCCTCAGAGAGCCGCGGAGGCCACGGGGCTCACCCCCGGGCCGACGCGCCCTGGCCCAGAGGGACTGCGGAGCGCGGCGGGGGCGCGGCGAGCGGCCGCAGAGGGACGAAGCGCGCGGAGGGGCGGCCGGCCGAGGCGAGAGGTCAGGTCGCCACGGCTCCGAGGTAAACAAAGAACGGAGCCCGGACCGGGCCGAGCCCGGCTGGTGAGAGCGCCGCCGCCGCCAGGCCGCTCGCCGCACCGCGCAGGGTCGGGAGTGCGGCCTCGGCCACTCACCAAGATGCGCTTGAAAAGGTTGCTCTCCTTGGGCGGCAGCTGCACGTTCGGCATCGCGGCCGGCGGGGAGGACGGGTGCCCGGGCGCTGCGTTTCGCGGGGATGGGCACCGGGGCGGGCCGCTGCTAAGAGTCGGGCAGCGGGCGATGGGTCAGTTCATGGCCTGGAGTTGGGGCCGGGCAGGCCGCTGGGCAGGCCGCTGGGCAGGGCTGGCAGTGGAAGGGGAACGCGATCCGGACTGGACACGCTCGGCTCCCGCCCTGCGGACCGGCGAGCGGCGGCGGCTCCCGCGCGCAGCAAGATGGCAGCCGGAGCCCGTCCCCTCGAGCGGGGCGGTGTGCGCCTGCGCCGGGCGCCCCGCGGCCAGGGGCGGCGGGGGACTCCGGGCGGCTGGCACCGCGGCGTGCAGAGTGTCTGGTCGCTTCTGTCACCGGCCCCTCGGCGCCCCTCCTAAGTCACTGATTGTTCTGTGCTGATTGCTAAGCTTGCGGCCCAACAGAATGTGAGTCAGACTTTTTTTGATTTCTCTCCACTCAGGAACTTAAACAGTGCTTGGGCTCAAAGTAAATTCTTGATTCAGGACGAAACTTGTTTTCCTTCTTTTCTCCTCCACTTAGACTTTGAGAAAAGCCTTCTCTTTCCAGTGCGGACCCAAGACAGATTCACAACGTATGTGTGGTCCTTGGACGGGCCTTGAAATGGACTAATGTGAGAGCTTGTTTGAAATGTCAGAAAAAAATACTGCCCGCAGTTCAGAACAGCCTACCATTGGCGGTGAAAATTATGATGGTTTTATGGGGTCATTGAGTCTCCAAGTCTACCTACCCTTTCTCCTCCGAAGGTTCCCCTTCATACAAGCCATATAATAATGAGAGAAACAATATTCAAACCCAGGACCTTCCAACTCTGGGACGCTGTCATACCCAAAACGTAGCCTGGTGATAGAAATGTGTGAGTCTAGACTAAAGATAGGCATATCCATCGATGGCAAGCACAGCCATGCATACAATGTAGGTTTAATTAATATTAAACTATGTAAATATTAGGTGCATAAACTTATTTATACATGTTCCGGATCTTAATTTGGTCATATTTGTGTGACTACAGAGGAATTGAAGCGTAAGTGCATTGAATGGGCTGTAATCAGAGCTGGGTTGGGGCTTATTGGGGCTTCCCTTTAGCCTGAGTTTGTTTGGAGATGGAAGAAGGTATCACAGGAGTCTTTTACACTTGATCTTAGCCAAAAGGCCGAGAAGTCTTTTAAAATAGGGAAGGGCTGGCTCAGTCGGTGGATGATGTGACTCTTGATCTCGGGTTGTGAGTTCGAGCCCCATGTCAGATGTAGAGATTTTATATATACATGTATATATTAGAAAAATAAAATAGAGACAGGACTGTTATTAAAAGGGGGGTAGGTTCAGAGGGCCCTGTGTGTTCTGGACAGACCCCAGGCTCCTCAAGGTACTAGAGAGGAATTGGCAAGGAGAGCTTCATGGGAATTTAGCTGAGCTGTTCCTGAAGTGGTTGGCGGTAGTCTTCTAGACAACAGAGCCGGGCAGAGGGCGCTCTCAGCACCCTCATACCCAGCCACATCCATAGTCCTCACCCAATGACTCTCCTTGGACATGGACTTTTCTGGAATGTACCTCATTCCGCCGGCTCAAGCTATTCTACCTCACCTCAAGGCCGATTTCAAAATGACAAATTGAAAAAAAAAAAAAAAGTGGAAAAAAAGCATAGTGCCAACTGTAAATATTTTGGAGGCAAGTAATGTTTATCTTTTAGGAAAGTTTCCGTGGACCTAGTACAGCCTGACTCATTACAAATCATTAACTGTCTCCATTCTCTGTGGTAGCTGCTGGATCTTCACCATGGCCCGGCCCCTAAATCAGGCCACTGGTGCTGGTTCTTCATTTGCACTCAGCTTCCCACCCACTGCCAACTTCCCTTCCTCAGCCTCCCCAGCATCTCCCAGCAATGCAAAGGAAACCTGCAATCCCAAACACTGAGAAGTGGGTAGTTATAAACATTCATCTTTAATATTTTTCTCATCTGCCTTGCACGCACCATGACATGTGAAGCATGCATACCTGGTTGTCTACATTAGGGTGGGAGTGAGGGGAGAGGTGAAGCCTTGAAAAGAATGCCAATAGTGGGGGCGCCTGGGTGGCTCAATCCGTTAAGTGTCGGACTCTTGGTTTTGGCTTAGGTTATGATCTCAGGGTGGTGAGATCAAGCCCCACATTGAGCTCCATGCTCAGCAGGGAGTCTGCTTGGGTTTCTCTCTCCCTCTCCCTCCTGTGCACGCATACGCACTCTCTCTCTCTCAAATAAGTAAGTAAATCTTTAAAGAAAAAAAAAAGAATGCCAATAGTGTTGCTGGTAGTTGTCAGCGTAAGTCTTAGAGTGTGTAAAGAATGTAATGCATGCACAGTCAGAAAGCCTGGATTAACCAGTGGTTATAATTTTATTACTGACTTCCTGTTTAGTCTGGAGCAAATCTTATTTCTATCTTTCAACAGAAAATGAGGTTATAATAATATTATTGTAATCTTTCAGAGCAGGATTGTGTGAATGTAATGCTTTATCATTTTTAAGCCCACAGGAAAAAAATAAGAAAAAAACCCACATGCATTATAAATCTGAGTTCACTGTCTCTCAGGAAGAATGCTGAAGCCCGGTTGGGGGCATCGTTGGCCTCCACCAAATGTTGCTTCCTGGTGCTTCAGGCCGGGTGTACCTCCTTTAGAATTATGCATACGGTACAATAATAGCAACAACATCTATGAAGACCTTTTTGCATATATGATATGGGCCAGTGATTCTCTTGCTAAGCTTAGTAGACTCAAGGAAAAAAGAATCTAGAAAAGGATGACCTCCAGCCCATATACACAGCATATCTTATAGAACTTGCTGACATAGTTCGCTGCTATGCCTACAACCAATTGCACCATGTAATCAGAGGCTGATGGGAAAAGAACTCATCAGGTTGCATAATGCATTACACCTCAGATTCCCTAATGTGTCTAGTTTTGGAGAAAGCAAGAGTACTTCATTCCTCCCTGGAACTCGATCCCATCTCCTTTGGCTTTTCCTGAACTTTTATTCATCAGTTGCTCGCCCTGCTGTTTGCATTTTCTCCCTCCTTATATAGCTTGTATTCTAACAATAAATCAACAAGATCCTCCCATCCAGTCATTCCAAATGGCAAGATTTCATTCTGAGGGTTGCTGGAGTGGTGGGGGGTGGGAGGGATGGGGTGGCTGGGTGATAGACATTGGGGAGGGTATGTGCTATGGTGAGCGCTGTGAATTGTGTAAGACTGTTGAACCACAGACTTGTACCTCTGAAACAAATTATATGCTAAAAAAAAAAGGAAGAAGATAGCAGGAAGGGAAGAATGAAGGGGGGAAAATCGGATGGGGAGACGAACCATGAGAAACTATGGACTCTGAGAAACAAACTGAGGGTTCTAGAGGGGAGGGGGGTGGGGGGAGAGGTTAGCCCGGTGATGGGTATTAAGGAGGGCACATACTGAATGGAGCACTGGGTGTTATACGCAAACAATGAATCATGGAACACTACATCAAAAACTAATAATGTAATGTATGGTGAATAACATAACATAATAAAAAAATAACATATTGTGGATAGTTTCTGAAATAAATAACCCTTAACAATTAAAAAAAAAAAAAGATCCTCCCAGACTGGGAAGGCCTGGGGAGGAAATAAAACAAGGTCATGTGAGGGCAGTGGGGTTTGAGGGAAGGACTACTTTAAACCACGTACTCAGGAATGACCTCTGGGGAGGTGATAACATGTGAACAGACCTAAAGAATGAGAAGTGAGTTAACAAGGAAAAAGCTGGGACAGCGTATTCTAGCTGAAGGGAGCCACATGCAAGTGCCCTAATGCAGGGACAAGATGAGCATGGTCAAGGCATAAAAGGGACAGGTAAGAACTTCAGTTATGAGATGAAAAGCGGTTCAGTTGAAAACATAGGCCAGTTTGTGCAGGGATGGCCATCTCCGGCAATGTGGTTTGGTTTAGTTTGATCCTAAGTTCAGCAGGAAGCCATCGAAGCACCTTAAGCAGGAAAGTGGCATGATCTGATTTCTTTTTTAAAAGGTCACTCTTCCGGCACCTGAGTGGCACAGCCAGTTAAGCGTCTGATTCTTGGTTTCTGTTCATGTCATGATAATCAGGGTCAAGGGATCAAGCCCCATTTCCGGCTCTACGCTCAGCATGGAGTCTGCTTGAGATTCTCTCTCTCTCAACCCCTCTGCCCCTCACCCTGATTGTGCGCACACACACACACACGCGCGCGCATTCTCTCTCAAATAAATAAATAACATCTTAAAAAAAATAAAAGGTCACCCTGGGGGTGCCTGAGTGGCTCGGTCCATAGAGCATTCAACTCTTGATCTTTGGGTCATGAGTTGAAGCCCCACATTGGGCATAAAGCCTACTTAAACACACACACAATTAAAAGGTCATTCTGACTACCTATGGAAAATGGACAAGAAAGATAATGAGGTTTTTTCTGGGAAAATGGTAACTCTATTTGTTCCTTAAGATTTGGCTTCTGCCTCCAACAGTCTTCTGAAAATGTTGTCTGAAATCTCAAGAATGCATTTGTTCAATACTTAATTACTGAGCACAATGTAATAAGCAGTCTTCTAACAAACAAAAACATCCACTCTCATGAAGCTTACATGTTAAGGATCACCTAGCAGCCAACTCTTAAAGATTTTTTTCAGTCCGTGGTGGACCACACTGTCCTCCTTAACTTTTCCGCCTTAGGTCACCAAGACCCTGAAGAATCCTGGGTTTTCTCCTCTTCCCAGTCACTCTGTGGGTCCTCCATCAACTCTTCTTCCTTCTCCTAAACATTGGTTGTCTAGACAACTCTGCTTTCTTTTTCAACATCAGCAATAAAATGTGTTCATCGAGTACCTGCTACTCACCAGCAAAACCAGCAGAATTAATAAATCCTCCTGCTCCCATAGCTTCCATATTAGCACCAAACCGATTTCAAATCTTGTCTCTAGTTTCAAGCCTTCTTTTGATCTCCTAGCCTTTATTCCCACTTTTTTGTGAAAGAGCTCCATCTACGGGTCTTCCAAGCATTTCCTACTCGGACATAAAAATAAAACTTAACCTTCCCATCAAACCAAGTCCTGACTTCTCTATTTTTGTTAATGACGGCACTCCTGTAGTTAAAATTCTCTGATCACCTTGACTCTTCTTCATTATTCCCCACATCCAAGTTGCCTAGTCATTT